TCATATCTACTGAAGACTGAATAATGTTACCTTGGTATGCTGTAATAACCTTAACCCTGCAAGAACTACAAGAAGAAAACAACCATGATTGCCTCTTAGTAACAGATTATCTTTTTGTTCCCAGGAATGACTGACAAGAAGCTCCTGTTGATAAGGCTGATCTAATTTGATTTACACATGGGTCCTACTTAAAGGATGAGCAAGGGCATTATCAACCTGGGCATGAAATAACATCCACAGTGAACGTAAGTGAAAGCTCTTATTTACCAGAAAAAGAGTCAGCAGAACGAGCAGAATTAATTGCCTTAACCTGAGCTTTTCAAATGGTTAAAGATCAGTTTGCAAATATTTATACTGACTGTCACAATGCCTTTGGAGTGGCACACAACTTTGGAATGCTGTGAAAACAACAAGTTTTTAACCTCTTTAGGACAACCTAAAAAAAAAGATAAACAGGTTGCAGAGTTATTGTTGCAGAACTGCCAAAAAACAGTTAGCAATTATTAAAACACCAGGGCATCCCAAATCTAACACTATGGAAGCTAACAGAGACCAGCTTGCTGACACTGTAGCCAAATGAGCAGCTTTAAAGACTCACCACATTCAGCCTAGAGAATGTCCACTGCTCACTGTTCACCCTGCTCATCCAGTAAAGGATGTCAATCTACAGGTGCAAGAAATTGCTACTAAAGAAGAGAAACAGATATGGCAACAAAAAGGGGGAATTTTGACCCCACCACACAAGTATGGTTTGGACCTGATTTTAAAAAAAATAATCTAAGTGTCTGTTGGCCCACAACTGTCTATCAGTCCTTAACAAGCATTCTACTGCTGAAACTCTGTAAAAGGAAGGAAAGAACTGAGTTATTAAGACTGAAGGAAATAATGGATCCAGGGTAGGTAAGTAACCACCTTATCACTGGGGGACCAAATATTTGCTCACCTAAGGCTTTCTATCTAAATATTAATGATTAAAAGGGGAAAATGAAATAAAATTTATATTTTAAGACAGGTAAAGACAATTTAAGCATAAAATTTTCTCTTCTCTCTCCGTTTGGGCCTCCTCCCTCCCTCCCTAATGCATCTGCATCACATACTAACCAGACCTCCCCAAAGATGGGAATGCCTGCTCCATAGCAAAGTTCTTTTTCCCTTTCTTCCAATGCTAGCAATGTAACTTCTTACAGATTAGGCATTCTTTCCAATTCTGTAGGTGGTCATAGTGACTTACTGCTTGCTTCGTATGTGTTTACCTAGACAATGTATCTCTGGTAAACTTTGTGTAAAATGTCAGTATATCATTTTGATGTAGGATCCTTGTCAAGAAAATGTATATGACTCTGCCTTTGTATATGTATAGGATCCTTGTCAAGAAATGCATATGACTACTAACAGGAGAAACAGTTCTCAGCACTTCCAAGAGTCTGTCTCCCAAGTTATAATCCTCAAATAAATATAATTTGGCTCAAATAAAATTCATTTTTCTCTTCTTAACTTGATTGTTAATTGAATTTTCATCAATATTTGTACTTACTGTGGCCACTTTGGGGAACCTTTACCTTACACAAGATAGACCAGTCTAAGTGTGTCCTTAAAAAGAGAGAATCTCAGACACCCTGAAAGGCAATAGAATTCATTCTTTAATTTGTATGCAGAAGGTTCTAAAAGACAAAATGACTCCAGAAATAGCTTCACCAAAAAGAATCTTTATAATGGAGCAAATAAAAAACCATTAGTAGAAAGTTTTAGCCATCTGAGTGGGTAACCTTTACTTATTCCATCTCCCAACAGCACAATTTTCAATGAGCTAATCTTTTGAGTTTTGTATCTTGCACCTGACACATGGCTAAAAATTTTAAATGAAAGCTACAATATCTCTGTGTATATCTGTTTGTGTATGTGTTTCTGTATATCTGAAGGTTTATGTATATCTATATTATATGTGTGATTTTTAAAGATATCTATTTGTCTAAAGAAAAATTAGTAATTATATGAATTAAGTATGTCATAAACTCTCAGAAATATAGAAACTAACCCAAAAGTTTTTCAAGTTCACATGACTTGTAATAATCTTTGGTAAAATTAAGCTACTTTAAGTTTTTGAGTTTCGTTAAAATAGAGATGTTTTCAGAGTTGTGAAGGTTACTATAAAGCAAACATAAAACTTTATCTATGTGGACTTACTGGTCACATAAGCTCATGCTATCTCTAATGAAATTTGTCAGCAAGAAGGATAACCTGAGATCACTGATAACCATCTAATATCAAATCCAAACGTATGTGTAACACACAAGTAATGTAAGGAGCTACAAGTGAGATTAAAGTTTGCACAAAGTTAAATAATGAATGTTCCTGGAATATCTAAATCATTTCCAAGTAAGCTAATAAGCTGAAACATTAATTGCTAAGCTTAACTATTAAAAGATGCACATAAAACAATACAAAATTTTTCATTTAAAATATGTAAAAATGAAGTATGATAAGTGAAAATACAACACACCGCGCTTGAAAATCATCTAAGCCCACTAAAGCATTTAAGCTGCCTAAGCAAAATTAAATTCACCTTATTTCAAAAACACAAGCAAAAGGTAAATTTAGGGGTTTTTTTTTGTAAATGTATCTGATATGTAATAAAAGAAATGTAATCCTTTGGAAAGGGTACAAGATAATTCGTTTAAACCAAACCCTGCGTCTGGACAAGCCCATTGTAATTGCCAAACTAGACCTAAGGTTTTTTTTAAAAAGTCCTTATTTTTCATTTTAAATCCACCATGAAACATCACGCCTTTGAGCTTTCTACTAGAAGTAGAGCAAGTGTGTTGTGACAGAAAAAGCCGGAACTCATGACACTAAGGGGATGGAAAAGGGGTAGAGTGGCTCGGGGGTACCCTCACCGTCCCGCCACCGTCAGAGGGCATCAGGCGGACACTAACTGTGCTACAGCCCAGAAAGCGATGGCACAGGGGAGTGGTCCCGCCCTGACAAGAGCACGCTTTGGCTTTGGCCCTTCGACAGGCGTGGCAACTCAGGAGCTGCTGAGATTTGCTGTTCCAAAACCGAAATTTGCTAGGACAAAGAATCACAGGCCCGAATAAATCACCACTTGTTACCCTAAGGAATCTCTCCAGCGGGACTTCTTCAGACTAAGAAATCTCGAGCTCACGGTAAAACGCCAGATTCCTAAGGCTGAGAAATCGCAGGCGGGGCTGAAGCGCTACTAGTCCCGAATCCAGACTTGCTTTGCTTGAGAAATCTCGTTGACCAGTGCTTAATCCAAGCCGCCACTCACAAAACGCTGACCCGGAGCACCTGGCGTAGTGCTGCCTCCAAGCAACGCCGGCAAGGAGCAATTAACAGTGCACCGACCGAGAAAAAGCCGGTTTGGAGGAATGTACGCTGCGTGCGGCCACCGAGAAAACAAGTCGATGCAAACGTGTTCTGTGAGGGAAGAGCCGCGGACTTCTCACAACCAGGGCAGGTGCAGACCTCAACAGGGGCTCCGTGCTAGCCCAGGGACTGCGACTGTGAGACCGGCGGGGCGTGGAGCGATCCAGCGGTGCTAGGACCCAGTTACCTCTGGAGAGAATTGAGGGGCCTTACTGCTGAGAGCCCAGCCACGCCCCGCACTCGCGTCGCACTGGAGGACGAGAAACCCTAGGGCGATTTCGGTGCAACTACCGCTGTGCCAAGGGAAGCTTAACCGAGGCAGCTCGAGTACCTGTGTTGCCAATAAAAAAGCGCCAACCCTGTGTGGCCCTTTCAGGCAAGATTTGGCGCTCTCTTGGGAAACACTTCCTGATGGATGAAAAACCCGCCTTCCCGTTCCACCAATCAGAGACCCAGAAAACGGCGACCCTGGCGCTTAGGAGCTAGCGCCTGTACTAGGGAAGAACTACAACGTTAGAGCTGTTTTAGCTCTAACCCTGTGCTGTTTCCTATGCTTAATCATGTTGGTTCTGCACCTTTCCTAAAAGAATGTTTCCTATAGCCTGAAATATACATTCTCAAGGCTCTGACCTGAAGGAGATTTAGTAGGGAAACTGTGGATGTGCCTGCCTGCACGCGGGACATCTCACAGAAGTGGCCGGACTTATCTGCAAACAGAAATTCCTGCCAAGAGACCCTTCCTCTTCCCAGGAGAAACATTGTTTGCAGACAAGGATGTTTATCTGTTCCTCAAAAGGAACAGGCCTGGGAACAGGAGGGTCTGAGAGCAATAAAGATACTTAGGATAAGGAAATGACTAGGAGGAATGTCTTAGATGTAGTGCGCTTGCGTCAATTCAAAAAATACTGTCTCGCGATGCTTGGTACGGCTTCGGGTTGCTCCTTTGTGTGAGGGGTATAAGAATAAAGAAACCCGAGCCTCGGGAGACTTTTTTGCACCACAACCGCTCAGGGATTCACTTCGTCAGCCACATTTTTGTGATTCATTTCGTCGGCAACACTGACCTTTAATGGTAAAACACTTTTCCATTCATATAGAGATGAAAGGTTTCGGGGCAGAGAATAACATTTGTCTTGTTGGAGGTTTACAGGAACACCATGACCTGACCTACGTGGACAGCTCCAAGAACAAAGGATTCCAATACCAAGAAGTTTGCAATCAACCACACTCTCCCCTTTTTGGTATAAAAGGAAACTGAATTCTGACTTGGGTAAGATGGTTCTCTAGAATATTAGTCCCTCATCTTCTCAATCTGCTGGCTTTCCAAATAAAGCTGTTATTCCTTGCCCCAACACCTCGTCTCCCGACTTATTGGCCTGTCCAGTGTGGAGCAGAACGAATTTGGACTCGGTACCACCCCCACAGGAAGTGACTGCCGCTGCTGCTAGCCAGCCAGAAACATCCCACTCAGCAGAGCCAAAGCTACTGCCATAGACAAACAACCGGCTGGGCGAAAATATGAATATATTTTTGTTCCCTGGGCTGGCTGTCCAGCAAGGAAGCTGCCAAGTGCTAAGTGACCAGAACTGCAACAAGAAACTCAAAGGGAACAAGAACTAAACATGGACAACGAACTCTGATATTGTGTCGCAATGCATTTTTATTTCCTAAGGAGGCAGGTTTTGTAACCTAGAATCCTTTCCTGGGTCAAGTGCCCAAAAGACTCCTGCTGCCATCTCAGGGCTCCTTAGCGCCAAAAATGAACCTGCAGCAGCCACAGGTCAAGGCATGCAGGGAGCGACCAATCCACTCTAAGCAGCCGGAGACCAGCGGGTTCTGGCTCCACCAAGCGGCGACGGGAGGAAGGTGAAGCTCCGAAGGTGGCCCGCTGTCCTGCTCTCTGTCACCAGGTCCCGTTGGGGGTTGGTCGGGTTCCTCTGCCGGGTCCCTCTCTCCTGTGGCTGTGAGCTGGGCTGCGCTTGCTTCCAAAGTGCTCCAGGCTCTGGGACTGGGTCTGTTTGGCAAGAAGTCAAAGGGCAGGCACCGACAAGGACTGGAAAGCAGTTCGTAATTGAAATCGCCGCGATGGCCTGAGGACTCTCCCAGTACCGGGTAGAAAGGAAGCGGCCACGGCCCAGAATCTGCCGGGCTCCCGCCAGGAAGCTGCAGCTCTGGCTCCACCTCTGCGCAATTCCAAGCCTCCTTCTCGGGCTGGAGAAAATGCTGCTCCATCGCAATAGACCTCGGACCAGCAGCAGGACATGAGCCTTTGCTCTGATGGAGGAGGCAGAGCCTTCAGAAGGGCCATGAGCCTTGGTATTTATGCACCGTGGGCGGAGGCAAGTCAGACATCAAAAGAATCCTGGTAGGAAATATGAGAAAAATCAGTAGACTAAATGGAATACGACTAAATCGTACTGAGCACGGGGAGCTGAAATAAATCGTTCTGATGAAAAAAAATCGTAACCAGAGCTACACAAGCCGAAAACAAATGGAAAAGCCAAAAGCAAATCAGACGGAATAAAATACGACATAAACTCACTATACTTAAATAAAAAAAGAAACAGAGAAACCGAAAGCAAACCGGACCAAATAGAATAGTGACAAGCCCTACAAGGGCACGGCCAACGGACGGTAATAGATCGTCCCGATGAAAAACCGTAGCCAGAGGAAAACAACCGAAAGGAAACGGAGGTGCCGAAAGGAAACCGGACGCAATGGAATTCAGACAAATCCTAGACAGCACAGCGAACCAGAATAAGTCATTCTGATGAAAAAACATAGCATGAAAACAACCGAAAGGGAACAACAATAAGCAAACCCGACAGAGAAGGAGCCCTGCAACACGCAGGGAGCTGTCGGCGCCCCGGCGGAGACCAGAAGCCACCGCTCTGGGCAAAAGGAGCGGTGCCGCCGCTGGCCGCCTCGCGGACGAGAAACCGCAGGCACCAGCGGCACTGGCAGCAGCCAACAGTGGTGCTGTGGCCCAAGACAAATTACCCGCTTGAGAGCGATCTGCTGTGCAGACAAAGAGAAACCGCCGGCTTTCAGAAAGGAGCAGCCTGAGACCCCGAAAACCACCCTGCGTGGAGGAATGACCGGTGCTGCCTTAGAGCAAAACACCGTCTCAGTGTGAGGATGATTTATTTTCGATTTCTCTTCATTCTTTCATTTTTAATTTAAAAGTATCGTTACATTTTACAACCTTTCCATTTTATTTATTTAAAAATTTTACTTGTCTTGCTATTTAACGTACTTGATATTCAACTTAGTTTATGTTATTTTATGGGTTGAAATTTTTAACTTTATTAAAATAATGAAAATCCCTTTAATCAAACCCTTCAGTCTGGACACCGCTGCGGTAGTTATCGTCTCTATGGCTAAAAAAAAAAATCCTTCTTTTCACTTTAAATCCACCGTGTAACGTCATGACTTTGAGTTTCCTCCTAGACTTGGGTAAATGTGACAGAAGAAGTCCCATCTCTTGACACTAAGGGAATAGCCAAGGGGCACAGTGGCTCAGGGCTAATCTCACCGTCCCACCACCATCAGAGGGCATCAGGCGGACACTAGCTGTCCTCGGCCCAAAATGCGATGGCACATGGGAGGGGTAGGGTTCTGCCAAGGGCATACTTTGGCCTTGGCGCTTCCACTGGCGTGGCAAACCAGGAGCTGCTGGGACTCACTGTTCGGAAACCGCAATTTGCTACGATTTAAAAATTGCAGGCCCTAATATATCCAGATTTGCTACCCTAAAGAATCACTTTGTTACCGGGAAAAGGGAAATAACAATTACCTCGGTTCTTAGTCACCTGAAAAAAAAAGAATTTTTAATGAGAGACAGAAAGCGTGACATAAGCAAGATTTTTTATTAGTGAAGTAAAAAGGTAGTAAAAGATAGTACACTCCTGAGAATTGGGAGTGGGCCAATCCAAGAGAGGAAAAATGGCGTGGCTCCTTTGTTTTTCCTGTTTTTATATCTTGGCTTGGGGGCATTTTTTTTGGTGATTGATTAAGGGCTCAGGTTCTTTGAGTGATGGAGCTGATTGACAGCTCAGGTTCTTTGTGCTCTGGTTGATTGACAACTCAGATTCCTACGCTCTGGCACGCCCATCCCCTTTTGGGCAGGTTCATTGGTTCAAGTTGCGTCTGGTCCTCTTACGCACAGCTGCAGCGTGTTGATTTTAACTGGCTTCTTTTGCTGGCCCTCATTTAGAGAAAGTAAAAATTTCTGGAGTCCTTTTTCCTGAATGCAGACACACTTTTATCTTCTGGGTTGTTCCTTTCCCCTTCCTCTCCCCCTGCCCAGTGCTCATTTCTATCTAAACTGCCTAAAGAGAACACATTTGCTTTTACATAAGTTGAATATATAGGCATGCAAAACAATACTATATAGTACCACACTGAAAATTACCAAAATACTCATTAAAAGTACAGTAGTTATTAACAGGAAAAATTATATGGAAGAAAGGAAGCAGAGAAATGAGAATCACTAATGATAGAATATTCATAGTCATATAAAATAGGGTAGGGGTCCTACCAACAAGATAAAAAAAAAACATGGCATTCACTCAATTCAATTTGTCGTGTAGGTATGAAAATCAGGGCAAACTTGAGATCTCTCTTTGATTCCACTAAGCTACTGTAGACAAAAATAGAAATATTACAACTCTAAGTAAGCACTCTCCTTTTCCTACCCTTACCTAATCACTCCTTTACTTGTTTCCCTTCCTGATATGCCTACATGAAAATCTGGAATCTTAATCCAGCTCCTGCTGAAACTAGCTTTGTATTCTGGCGAGGATCTGCCATCATGGAACCTCATCTCTAAAATCAGGCAATCCTCTCTGAGCTGTTAAATTATTAGACCTACAAGTGAAGTGTAATTTGGCAGCTTTGCCTGCTGAGTAGAGAGTTTTTTCCTGCAGGAGTGGAACCGACCAGGACTGAACTTTCCCCAGGGAACTTCCTCTCCTCCCATCCCCCTCCTCTAACTCCATCAATGAAACCGCTCTTAATTTCCATAGTGCCTCCCAGAAAGACGCAGTTTTCTCCTCTATCCCATGAGGCTCCAAGGCAATTTGAAAGGTAAATGAGTGCCTATCCCCACCTATCTGGAACTTAGGTTTCCTGATGTCCTATACAAGACAGACACACTCAGTAAATGACTGAATCACTTGCCCCTTTGCTTAGACAGGCAACTAGTCCCAGTCCAGTAAGAAGGCTGAAGAGATGGAATCCCATGCATCCACCCTGCAAGAGCTGTCTTGGAGGTGGGCACATCCAGAGCCCCACATGCCATGGGGCCTGAACCCAGAACCAGGCCTGGGCCTGGGTTCTGGATAACTTCCCCGCGCTGAGCCGCCCCTCCTGCCAATGCCCCAGTCCTACGGGGACGGGCACTATGGTGCATGTGAGAGGCTGCTTCGTGCTTGCACCGAGCATGCAGACGGTCCCCAAGTTGAGAGCAGCCCAAAACGCTGTCGAGACCCACAAGCCCAGGAGCCAATGGCTCATCCGGGATGGAACAACTGTCCCACCAAGAAGAGGCCAGAGCTACAGACCACGCAGCTCAACAGGGCCTGAACCAGTCAGGAGATGCCAGCAGCAGCGGAGGTGGACAGACAAGCAGCCAGATTGCCTCCCAGGATCCCAAGACAGCCCCACCCACTCCCATCCCCACCCCCTGAGACTGCTGAAAAATGAGGCTTGAAACCCAGGAACTCCACAAAGTAAGGAAGGATGGCAGCCTTATGCCCTGCCACACGGCAACCCTTCAACCCATGCCCTGGACTGGAGTCACGGAGTCACCCCAGTGGAGGCCCTCATTCTGCCTGTCTGGACTTCTCCCCTGGCCCCAGCCTTGCTCGGGGATGAGCCTCAGGGTCTCTGTAGTGCAGAATATTCTTTATTGTCCTTTCATTCCTGAATTACTGACAGGTTTTTCAATAAGAAATCTCTTTTCAGGGAATCAATACTATCTTAAGGATGTTTCTTGCAGATGTACTCAGAATATTCGTGCTTTTCATGTTAATTCCAATTGTGCACAATGATTAAAGTCTGTTTCCTTATTCTCTGCCTGTGCAATTGATTTGGGTGGATGGAGCCAGGATTAAAAGGGATGGGAGGTGGGCTTGTGTCTGACAGGGGAGCAGGGACCCAGTTCAGGGTTCATTAAGGTCAATGAAATGCAAAGTGTCATTTTTTAAAATGACATAACTTTGACTACCATAGTGGCCTACATTAAAATTTTTCATTTGTTCTACTGTTGGTAAAGTAGTAACTTCCCAACAGAACTTTTGTGTATGAATTTAAAAGGATCTTTGGAAAGACAATGTGGCAATATGCATTAAAAATTTCAATATGAATGCTCTTAACCCAGAATCCCACTTCTATAAGCAAGAAATTATAAAGAACAGACATGTTTTCCAATGTATGATTTTTTAAAAAATGATGGTCATATCTGCACAATCCCAAACTATGCCCTGGGGACTGGAACACAAGGAAGCCAGTGACTGTAGCAACAGGGCTTGAATTCAAGGGGGTGTTTCTAACGAAGTTGGAGGAGAACGCACTGAGGTAGCCACCCAGGTAGTCTCAGAGAGGGCAGAACTCCAGATCCTTGCCCTGTGGGCACCCATCACCACCTACACTGGGGTTTTTGTGACTTTTCCACGCAGACACCTGATCTGCAGTATTCTTCTTCCCTGGGGCTAAATTTGGGCCAGAGAGGAGCACAAGTGTCAACTCCAGGCAGTCTTTTTGGGGACTCCCAAACTACTTACTGTGCAGAGACAGTCTCTGAGTCCTCAGTATTTCTCTCCCACACAGTGAGTGGTTCCCATCTGCACAGAAATAGAGCATTCCCCTGAGCCTCAGATCAGTCCCTGGAGGTTGTCAGACTCGGGCTTCTACCCAGTGTAGGGAGGGGAGTAACTTGGCTCCCACTTCTTGCTTCCAGACCCCAACCCCTTGCAGCAAGACAGATGACGTTCCAAACTTTCACTCTCCTACACAGTGTAATAGCATGTCTGGGCCAAGAGAGAGGTGGAGGAGAGAGGGAAGGCAAATGCTGGACCTATAAGTCATCAGAAACAAGGTGCTGAAATCTAGATGTTGATGTTAACCTTCAGTGTAAATTGCTTCAGGATGCCAGGCCCAGGAGAAGCAGCAGATTAATATCCTCTTCGTCTAGTTGGGAGGATTCTAAGTCGTGGCCTGTGCTGAGCCTGATACAGTGATTCACATTGGAAAGGCGTTTTACTCCAGAAAGAGCTGGCTTTCACCCCCAGGAAGGGGTGAACGCCCTAACTCAAGTCCCTTTTGGATGGAGAAATCTGGCACCTTGGAAAAGACAGCCAGTTGGAGGAGGAATTGCTCTGAGCATGCCCACTGCCGGATCCTGGAGCGCTCGGCCCATCCTCTTGGGTCTGGGAAGGGGGCGCTGGTTTCCCGGCCACTAGTCCGGGATCATTATACCCTTGACTTCCACGCTGGCTATCTGGCAGCAGGTCAGCTCAGCCAGTTCCTGACCGGTGCTGCTGGTTAAAGTGTTGCGGAGATTCAGAGGGATTAGGGAGACTAGCTGGGGTCTAGTCCCTGAGGGGAGGGTGAACTTCTGGGTGAGTTCAGGGAGGAGTGGGGGAAATGCGGTGGAGGCGGCAGCAGAGCCGCGTGCAGATGCCTGGAGGGTCCTGAGGACTCCAGGCCAAGAAGGGCCAGGGCCACGGAGCTGGGGCTGCGGACGGCCTATCTGCTGTTCTGGGAGGCCCAGCGGGTGTCGCGGAGTCAGACGGAAGCCCACGCTCCACCCCAGTCCCCTCCCCACGTCACCCAGGATGCCTGTTTCCATCGGAAACCCCAGGGTCTAGCCCGTGCCGAGCAAAACCCGGCGACCGAGGATGCGGCGCGGGAACTGGTACTGGCCACCGCCGCCCGTGCGCCTAGTCTTCCCCAAAAGACAAACCAGGGCCTCTGGGGAAAGAAAAATGGACTGTTACATCGTTTTTCGTCACCTTTATTAAGTATTAAGTACCGAAAAGGAATTTCACTAAGAATTCTAAAGACAAATGACTTCCATCTCTATGGAGCAAACGCAGAGATGTGGCTGGAACATCACTTGTCCGGGGCGGTGAGGGGCTCAGTTCAAATCTCTGGGCTCATTCGCAGCTCCGGGTCCTCCGGGCCACTGCAAGTCGGATCCGCCGCCCCCAGCCTCGAAATCTGCTTGGGATCCTCTGCCTCCCGGGGGCAGGAGCAGGGCGACGCTTGGAAGGGTCCCCGCCGGCAGCGTTCTCGGGCTTCAATAGGCGGCCCAGGAAGCGGCGCCACCTGCCAACCGAGGCTGCGGGAGCGGCGACCGCCTTTTCTTGGGGCGCCTGTGGCTCCGGACCATAGCGGGTCGCGGGCGTCGGGCCCCTGGCGGGCCTCCCGGCGCTCCGCCTGCCGATGCTCGGCGCTCGGGCTCCATGTTTCGGGCAATAAGTGCACAGAAACCCGCAGGGACTGGAAAGGCATTCCCAATCCAAGTCTTCCTGGTAGCAAGAGAGCTGGCCCAGCTTAGGATAGAAGGGCAGTTGCCAGTCCGCAAGGTCCGCTAAGCTCAAGACTTGCAGCGATCTCCGGTTTCTGGGACTCCGCTGCAGAATCCCAGGCCTCGCGCACGCAGGGAGGAAAGTTCTGCGCCATCGCTTCGGTCGCAGAGAGGAGGATAGTTCTCAAGGACCCTTTCCTGGCGAATTTATACTCTCCTGGGAGCTTAGGTTTACAACAAAACGCTATCAAGGGTGGGCGGTGCCTTTTTCTCAGCTTGCAAATTACTTCAGAAGCTGAGACGTGATGAGATCCAGGCCAAAATCCAATCATCTTGCTGGATCTCCGAAGTTGATGTGGTTTTGCTGACTGGATAGCATTAAAGTTATCATCGTTTGTTCCTGCGTTTGTCTGTCTCTTTTTTAAAGAACTCCAGGTAGAGCGGCTGAAGCATAGCGTTTGCTATTTTGAAGGTTACTCTTTGATGGAAAGTATCCTTTGTGCCTGATCCTTTGGGGGAACTGTATGTCCATTGATACTCAGGGCCCTTCTGCTTGGGATGCTCCATCAGATTTTAGGCAGATCATCAGAAGGAAAAGTTGGCCGTCTTCGCATAAAATCACACCGCTGGTCAGTGACAGAAGTCACTTCTGGAGGCCAGAAGCCTGAAATTCAGGTGTCAGCAGTGTTGTACCCGCTCTGAATGCCCTGGGGGAGAAATCGTTCTTTGTCTCTCACAGCTTCTGGTAGCTGTCAGGATTCCTTGACCCATGGTTACACGACTCCAATTTCTGCCACCATGGTCCTTTGCCTCCTCCTCTGTGTCAAAACCTCCACCTCACTCCTATAAGGGCACACTAGTCATTGGATTTGAGACCCACCCAGATAGTCCAGGACAATCTCCTCATCTCAAGATCCTTAAGTTTAGTTACATTTGCAAAGACTTGTTCCAAATAAGGTCACATTCAAAGGTTCTGAGGATTAGGACATGGACATGTCTTTGGGGAGGCCACCATTCAACCCACTGCCAACACAATGGCATTTCTTTGTGTAGACAATTCCTTTTGTGTATTTTCTTTAAAAGGAGAAGAAAATATCAATCCCAGGCAAGAAAATTTTTGACAAGAGTTATGACAAATACATTTGTCTGTTCCCATAATCTTCAGAATCCAGGCAGGTGACAGAAAACACACTAGTCATTTGAACAGACAGAATTTAAAATACAGAATTAGAAACTAGGTAGAAAGTTATCAGATACATAACTTAAAGGGTAAAAAGAGAAATCCAAGATATCACAGAGAGCAACTACAGGAGCAGTTGGGGAAACAGGGAAGAGACTGGATTATTAAACTTTGAAGTGTAAAGGGAAGGCATTGCTGAGGTGAAACCCAGATTGGAGAGGCAGCGGCAGTACTGAACTGGCACTACTTTCTCTGAGCTTGGAGGGGCTGTGGGGCTGAAACCAGATCTTTGATGAGAGAATGGGCTGATGCTGGTGTTTCTGGGAGGACGACATGAAGCTGGTTCTATACATGTTAGGAAAAACAGCAAACTGGATTCAGCTGCTGCTATGAAAAGGTGAACTACCCTTCTAGAGGTAAAGATGCTGCTTCAGGGGGAAGCAACAGGAAATCCTCAGGAAGTAGCCAGGAGGAAGCAAGTGTTTGCTCTGCCCTCCATCCTGGCCGTCTCCCTCCAGCTTCTGCTAACGGAGAACTACTTTGGAGCTAGTTGACAAAGTAGAAATGTGGCTTGCAGAGTCCTAGCTCCTGTATCACAATACAAGAGCACAGAAAAGTGGGTTTGGGGTCCAGAGAAAAATACTTTAATAATGAACATATTTCCATACAACAGTTTCCAGAAGGCTACTCCATATTTTCCTCCAAATTGACCCTGGCAGGAAAAAGTAGATGAGGAATTGTGCAAAAAGTAGAGAGACATCTTCATTTTCCAACATGCAAATTTTTAAAAACACCATTTTAATAAAAATCTAGAAAGCTCAAACTAATCTATATGGACAGGAAGCAGGTCAGTGGTAGCCTAGGGGAAGGTGGGACGAGGAGGACATGGTGGAGGGAGCACAAAAGGGCATGAGAAAACTGCACTGTGGTGACAATGTCACAAATTGCACACTATTTTTTTGTTTTGACCATCTATATTTTTTATTTGTTTTTTCTAGACCAAATGATTACATTCATAGCATAGAAACTGATTTCCATCTTAATTGCTTTTTTACAATTTCATGGCATCTTAGGGTATTAATTATTTTTTATTGAAGTATAGTCAGTTTACAATGTTGTGTCAATTTCTGGTGTACAGCATAATGGTTCTGTTATACATATACACACATATATTCATTTTCATATTCTTTTTCATTATAGGTTACTATAAAATACTGAATATAGTTACAGTAGGACGTTGCTCTTTATCTTTTTTAAATATAGTAGTTAGTATCTGCAAATCTCAAACTGCCAATTTATCCCTTCCCACTCCCTTTCCCTCCTGGTAACCATAAGTTTGTTTTCTATGTCTGTAAGTC